CAGCTCAACTTTTCTTGCCTTTGCTTGCCCAGGTTTAAATGAGGATAGTCACACAGACGGAAAGATCCAAGAATTTGGATAATATACCAAAGACCTACTGAGGCTGCCCTGAATGGTTACTATTACTGCTTGTGTACAAAATATATTTTCATTCTGTTCTCTGTCTTCTTAATATGTACATGTGGAGTTACAGTGATGAGAGATAGAGCATTTCTTTTGATACGGATTGCAGTGTGTATGGCATGCCCTGTGGTACAACCACTTCTTGGGAAAAGCCAGAAGACAGTCAACTTCATAAGAAGTTGGCTTTTCCCTGTCTTAGCAGATAGCAAACAGTAACCTGAGTCACTGCTTGCAGCATCCTTCTGACCTCTGAGTTGTCATTGGCAACAAGGGGTGAGGTGGCGTGTTAGGCTGACGGTTCTTTGGACAGGTGCCAGTTTAATAGTCTTTGCACCATGTAAAAGCATTTCCAAACTTTGTTTCTTTTCTACAGGTTAACATGCCTCCCAGAGGGCCCCCTCCATTCCCAGGGTCACCTCTCTTTGGTGCCCCTTTGGGAAGTCCTGTGCCACCACCCACTCGATATGGACCACCTCCTCCACTGATCGGGCCTTTTGGGCCTCGGCCAGTTCCTCCACCATTTGGTATGATGATCTGAACAGTATTGACTTGTAAAACATACTCATCTTTTCTGTTTTTTGCTAAAGTACTTGTTACCATAGAGCTTTACAATTGAGGATGCAGCTGAGAACATTGTAACGATTGTGAAGCCTCTGAGCACATAAAGGTTCTATGTAATCTCCCTAAACTGAGTTGGGTATGGCTGACAAGGAAAGCCAGCAATGTTCCCTCTGCAGGTGCATTTGAACACCGTATTGTATATGGAAAAGATGGGTGTCACATGTCATAAAACCCTGTAAGTCACAGAGACACATAGAATCATAAGACACTGGTCAGAGAATATAGACAGGAAGCTAAACAATCCCTTCTCCCTGGCACTAGGCAGAAGAGAGCTGTTACACAGAACACAATAGCAGCCTAGTGAATGTAGATCAATTTGAGTCCAGCTCCTTTGTGTGTTTTGGCCACATGAACTTCTGGTTGACACAGTGGTAGGTCTTTATCAACTTTGTTGCAGTGAATGTGTGTTTCATAATGAATCTGTGTTTTCACTCTGTTCTTGGCATGGCTGTTACTCTGAATAGAGATGTTCTGAAATGCAGAATTGCAGAGTGAAAAGAAAACCTGGACTTAAGCAGAGCCAGGTTTAAACCTGTGCTTTGCTCAGTGGCCACAGACTAATTTCAATTTGCTGAGTCTCTTTTGCCTCATCATAAAGTCAGGGTGCCACAGTTGACTTTCTAGGGCTGAGAAATTAATAAATATGTTACTGTACTTGGAATGATTGCTCATTTCAATGTGTTTCTTGGTATTTACATGACTCTTGTTTCCTAGTTCCAGGCATGGGTCCACCACTAGGCATAAGAGAGTATGCACCAGGTGTTCTGCCTGGGAAACGGGATCTGCCTGTTGACCCTCGGGAGTTTTTACTAGGACATGCACCATTTAGACCTCCGGGTTCACTTGGTCCAAGAGAGTATTTTATTCCTGGTGCCCGTTTACCACCTCCAACTCATGGTCCTCAGGACTACCCGCTGCCACAACCTGCTGCAAGAGACTTACTGCCTCCTGGCCCAAGAGAGGAAGCCCCACCTGCCTCTCCAAGCAGTGTCCAAGACAGTTCACCGGCTTCAAAACCCATCCCTTAACTTTGTTTGACCTCTATCTGAGTGAGAGGGAAAGATTGGACAGTACATTGTTCATAACATCAAGAATTTCATTGGCTTCAAAACCTAAAAGTTTCTTATACAGCGTTTGTTTTTAGTACTAAGCTGCCTTGGCAGTGTGCATTTTTGAGCCAAACAAAAAAATATTATTCTCTATTCTAAGTAAAAAAAAATCATATCTTAAGCTAATGTCCTTCCAACTTTGAAATGTGCAATAAAGAAATACCTGTGTCTAGTTGATGTAGCATATGTAATTGCTCAATGATTTAGAATATCCTAAAGTATGAACATTTCCTGTGGAAATGCTTTAGGAACATGTATTTCCATTGCCTTGGTCTAGTGTGTGCCAGTTGATACAGAGCGAGGTGTTCACAGCTCCATCTGTCTGTGTCTCAAAGACTGTTACGCTAAAAACGTGTACTCAAGGATCACAAACTCGTCTTTGTTGCTAAAGTTCTTTGTAGTAATAGTTCATAAACTTTGTTTATTAGTATTTTCCAAGTGTCTGTTGATTCTTTGGGTTGTTTTGAGACTTGTATCATTTGGGAAACCTGACAACTGGCCTTCTGGAACTCTAGTGGTGAGTGTGCACAGTCCATGTGACACAGCTACGTTTTCCCTAAGTCACCAGTGAGCTCTACAGGAATTCTTCCTCTTATTCAAATAAGTCAGCAGCCCCACCTATCTTACCTTTCTGTGCCTTCTTGATGCTCGATGCCTGTTTGGGAACGATCTTCTGTGTAGAAGTTTGCATTAGTATCAAGAATTATTTGTAGCTGGATGTGGTGGCGCACACCTTTCATCCTGGCTTCTGGGAGGCAGAAGCAGGTGGGTCTCTGTGAGTTACAAGACAACCATGGCTACATAGAGCCTGTCTCAAAAACTAAGAGGAAAAAAATTATTCGGACCAGCAATATGGCCCATCTAGTAAAGGCACTTACTGCCAAGCCTGGCAGCTTTAGTTTTATCCCTGGAGCCACACATGAAGAGAACCAACTCCCAGTAGTTGTCCTCTGCCCCACACACACACACACACACACACACACACACACACACACACACGCCTTAAAATGTGGAGGGAAAAATTAAATTACAATTTTTTCACCTCATGTTTTGTTGCTTTTAAAACCATTTTTGTACTAAGGGTGCGTAAAAGATCAAAATCACATGCCATGACTGTAAGATCATTTCTTTTTAGAAATAGACATTCTGTTCTCTCTCACATCACCTTGCAGCTGAGTTTCAAGGAATATGACAAGCAAGAATCAGGAAGGTGTCATGAGGAAGAATGATTGCAAACTAGAAAACTTAACTATGTCTTCAGTTGTTTTGAGATTGGGTCTCATAGTGTAGCCCAGCCTGGCCTCAGACTCTCAGTGATCCTCCTGTTTCATCTCCCAAGAGGCTGGAATTTCAGGCTTGAGTCACCTTGCCTAGCTTAATTCTTTGATAGATACTAATGAAAAATTAATATTCAAATAGTGGTGCTTTTATTTATAAACCAGGTTTAAGTCTAGGAACTGGTATTGCATCATGTAAAGTCCTGTATCCCTTTTACAGTGTCTTTAAAACAACTGGTTCAGACAATATATAGTAATTGTAGCTGCACATTATGTAAGAGCTGTAACATGTAAAGCTGTAAAAGGTGGAAACTGCTTATTGTGACACTGTGTTCCCTAAAGTCCTGTGAAGTCATGATACTGAAATCTAGGGCATAGTAGGCTGGGATTTTAAAGCCACGTGGGTCTTTCGAAAAATGAGAAACAGCTTCAATGAGAAATAAAATCCTCAACATCTGAAGACATGGTATACAAAGACAGGCTCTCTGAATGCAGTAAGTTCTGAGGTAGCCTGTAAATTCTCCAGTAAGAGTTAGATATGCCTAGCCCAATCTGAAATTTCAGAAGATTTTATATAAGAAAACACCACAGAATAGTGTAGGTCATTAAAAATTATTTTTTATTCTATGCATATGTGTTTTGCCTGCATGTATGTACGTATACCACATGTATGCCTGGCGCTCATGATCCCCTATAATGAGAGTTATAGGCAGTTGTGAGCCGCAATGTGGGTGGTGGGAACTGAACCCTGGTCCTCTGCAAGAACAGCCAGTGCTCCTAATCCCTAAACCACCTTTTACACCCCTAGCATATGCTATTTTTTATTCTTATAAAAAAAAAACTAAATTACAAATACAGCTTCTGGAACGTATCTACCAACCTCAGGACCCAAAATCAATACATTCATATAGTCACACATTGTTCCTTTTTTATTTTTTTGAGATAGGATCTCACCAATGTAGTATAGGCTTTTTCAGAGTTGATAACCTACCTCCACTATCTCAGCTACCTAAGTTTAGATGACATAGAAAGTAAAGATTTTATCAGCTAAGAAGACAAATAGTAAAGCTAAGTAACACCCTACCCCCCCTTTTCCAATTGAATACGGCGGTTTTTTCCCCTCTAAAGCCCTGTAGTTTTCCTGCCGTATATGATAAATGTCAGAAAGATGTAGAGAAACAGTGTGGTTATCTGGGCAGTTCTGAGCCATTCACCACTGCCTTCCCTCCACACCATCGGATTGTAATCCTAGGCTACAAAAGCCCATAATAAGCCATCAGTCTACGGATGGCACAGAGGACATATTACCACATTTGAACCACTTTTCCATTTCCAAAGTTCCTATTTCAGTAGTTCCCTCCAGCTGTTTCTGGGCTGAGTGGCTGAACTGTCACTAGGAGCAGTGTACCTCAGCCTCAAAAGCATTTCTCTTAGAGCACAGGCTGATTTTCTATGGCAGTTTTTTTTTTTTTTTTTCACTTCAATGGAACTAGTGTAATGTGAAATGCCCAGTGTTAACTGGTTTAAGACAGTCTTTTCAATCAAGTCTGAATTAAAGCCAAGTTTATCACAGGAATTTCCCTTAGCTCTCTTGAACCCTGATGGCAGGCACCTGTAGTTCATAGAAACAGTTATGAGAAGGACCAGTGCTGTAGCACAGAGACTTAACAAGTTGCTATTTGATTATTATTATTTTTGTTTATTTGTTTTTTTGAGACAGGGTTTCTCTGTGTAGCTTTGGCACCTATCTTGGCACTTGCTCTAGAGACCAGGCTGGCCTCAAACTCACAGAGATCTGCCTGTCTCTGCCTCCCGAGTGCTGGGATAAAAGGCATGTGCCACCAATGCCCTGCTTCCAAGTTGCTATTTGTATTATGGTCTGTGAGAAAAAGGACAGTGTACAGTCTTTGTTACATCTTAATAATAGTAGGTTTGAAGGGATTGCTTTTTTATGTCTAGTGAGGAACACCAAACACAAGGTACTGAGAACTCCCCAGGTCCAGAGTACTGCCCTGTGTACTGAGAACTCCCCAGGTCCAGAGTACTGCCCAGGTTACTGAGTACTGGAGAGGTGGCTCAGTGGTTAGCAGCACTTGCTGCTCTTCCAGAAGACCTAAGTTCACACTTCATACCACCAACATGGCAGCTCCCAACCACCTTTAACTCAAGTCCCACGGGAATTAACACCCTCTCCTGGCCTACAGGCTTATTGCACACAGGCGGTACAGATACATGCATGCAGGTAAAATACCCATTCATATAAAGGAAAATATTTTGGAAATAAATGTACAGAAACTGGGCCAACTCTTGTTTCAATATTGAAGTCTGTGTAAATTGTGACTCATATTTTGAGACCCCTCTTTGGGATTGCAGGCATGTGTTACCTCACCTAGCAGATCTATTTGTAGTGCTGCTCTTTAGTTAAGAGTTGAACCCTAGCCACAACAGACTGATTCCCCCTGAAAGGACTCTGTTGTTTCTCTCTCAAGGGCCGATGGACAGACATTTACCTTGCCCTTGTTGGCCATCAGAGACATCTGGGAAACACTCTGCTTCTGGTAAGGGGCCTAAGAACTTTCTGAGCATCCTGCTGCGGGACCTTCATTCTTCTCAGAGCCCATGTGAGTCTAAGTCATTCTCTGGCCTCTTGCAGACCCAGGTCCAGGACCCATGATGAACAGCAGCTCTGGGAGCTCCTCTCCTGCAAAAGCCATGGATGAGAGCCAGGTACACTCTGCAGATGAGTATTCCCTACTGGTCCCTGTTTCCTCTCTTGTTTGTCTATTGGTTCCTTTAAAGCAAACTGTTCCCCAAGATCCTGATGGCCCCTCGTGTTCCAGCATCACCCCTTTAGCTGAGCATACAGTAGCAGTAAGTGTTTAGAGATCGAGGGCCAGAGTGGGCTTTGGTTTTGCTTGGTTTGTCCTTAGAAGCTTCTAAAAGCATGACACAGCTTCACCTTGTCACCATCTATCGAGTGGCAGTATCACTCCAGCACTCCTTGACTTTGGAGTGTCACTGAGCCAGAGTGCTTGTTTGTTGGTGTCCTTTTCACTGTGAGTGAGATTACTAACCAGTTTAGAGCACTTGCTCTAACTACTAGTACATAGTACATCATCATCAGTACAACCTATGCTGTGTGCTTTGTGCTGAAAGCCATGAGTGACAGAGACTCACTGTAAGTCATGCTATTCATAGGCATCAGGTTTGGAACTGTGCTTCTGAAACTCCCTGCATCTGTGTACCTGGCCAAGTGTTTGGAATAATATGAAAGCAGACTGCTTACACACAGAAACGTGTGTACCACCTCTTGATCTGGTCCTCAGCAGTGGCCAAGTAATTTTCAGTGTTCACAGCAGTGTGTACTCCTGTGACATGTGTGGCTATTGGAGTTGCTTAGCCTTCTGCACTACAGTAACACAGTGTGGAAATTCCTGTTCTGTCGTGTGTAGTGTTGCCATTCAATGAAGGTCATTACTGGAGCTGTCTACGTAATTACAAACATAAAACTGTGCTGGGAATACTGTGAAGTCCAGTGTGGGGCTCCAGGGATGTGCATGTCTTGAGAAGTCTTTATCCAAGCCAGGCTGGGTGAGACCCAGAGCCTTTCTAGACTTCAGACACTGAAGACTTCAATTTGGAGGAATAGGAGGGACACAGCCATGGAGTGGAGCCTGGTATCTGAGTTCTAGCCTGCCCTCTTACATGTATTATGACCCACAATCAGCTCAACTTTTCTTGCCTTTGCTTGCCCAGGTTTAAATGAGGATAGTCACACAGACTGAAAGATCCAAGAATTTGGATAATATACCAAAGACCGACTGGGGCTGCCCTGAATGGTTGCTATTACTGCTTGTGTACAAAATATATTTTCATTCTGTTCTCTGTCTTCTTAATATGTACATGTGGAGTTACAGTGATGAGAGATAGAGCATTTCTTTTGATACAGATTGCAGTGTGTATGGCATGCCCTGTGGTACAACCACTTCTTGGGAAAAGCCAGAGGACAAGCAACTTTATAAGAAGTTGGCTTTTCCCTGTCTTAGCAGATAGCAAACAGTAACCTGAGTCACTGCTTGCAGCATCCTTCTGACCTCTGAGTTGTCATTGGCAACAAGGGGTGAGGTGGCGTGTTAGGCTGACGGTTCTTTGGACAGGTGCCAGTTTAATAGTCTTTGCACCATGTAAAAGCATTTCCAAACTTTGTTTCTTTTCTACAGGTTAACATGCCTCCCAGAGGGCCCCCTCCATTCCCAGGGTCACCTCTCTTTGGTGCCCCTTTGGGAAGTCCTGTGCCACCACCCACTCGATATGGACCACCTCCTCCACTGATCGGGCCTTTTGGGCCTCGGCCAGTTCCTCCACCATTTGGTATGATGATCTGAACAGTATTGACTTGTAAAACATACTCATCTTTTCTGTTTTTTGCTAAAGTACTTGTTACCATAGAGCTTTACAATTGAGGATGCAGCTGAGAACATTGTAACGATTGTGAAGCCTCTGAGCACATAAAGGTTCTATGTAATCTCCCTAAACTGAGTTGGGTATGGCTGACAAGGAAAGCCAGCAATGTTCCCTCTGCAGGTGCATTTGAACACTGTATTGTATATGGAAAAGATGGGTGTCACATGTCATAAAACCCTGTAAGTCACAGAGACACATAGAAGTATAAGACACTGGTCAGAGAATATAGACAGGAAGCTAAACAATCCCTTCTCCCTGGCACTAGGCAGAAGAGAGCTGTTACACAGAACACAATAGCAGCCTAGTGAATGTAGATCAATTTGAGTCCAGCTCCTTTGTGTGTTTTGGCCACATGAACTTCAGGTTGACACAGTGATAGGTCTTTACCAACTTTGTTGCAGTGAATGTGTGTTTCATAGTTAATCTGTGTTTCACTCTGTTCTTGGCATGGCTGTTACTCTGAATAGAGATGTTCTGAAATGCAGAATTGCAAGTGAAAAGAAAGCTTGGACTTAAGCAGAGCCGGGTTTAAACCTGTGCTTTGCTCAGTGGCCACAGACTAATTTCAATTTGCTGAGTCTCATTTGCCTCATTTTAAAGTCAGGGTGCCAAGCTAGGAATCTGGTATTGCATTATGTTAATTCTTGCATCCATTTTACCCTGTCTGTAAAACAACTGGTTCAATCAATTTACAGTAACTGTAGCTGCACATTATGTAAGAGGTGTAATATGTAAAGCTGTAAAAGGTGGAAAGTGTTTACTGTGACCTGTGTTCCCTAAAGTCCTATGAAGTCACATTATTGAACCTAGGACATAGCATGCTGGGATTTTAAATCCTTGTGGGTCTTTTGAAAAATGAGAAACAGCTTCAATGAGAAATAAAATCCTCAACATCTGAAGACATGGTATACAAAGACAGGCTCTCTGAATGCAGCAAGTCCTGAGGAGCCTGTAAGTTCTCCAGTAAGAGTTCAATATGCCTAGCCCAATCTGATATTACAGAAGATTTTATATAAGACAACACCACAGGATAGTGTAGTCATTAAATTATTTTTATTGTATGCATATGCGTTTTTCCTGCATGTACACATATATGACATGTATGCCTGCTGGTCATGATTCCAAAACAGGGGGCCAGATCCCCTATAAACACAGTTATGAGCAGTTGTAGCCACAATGTCGGTGGTGGGAACTGAACCCTGGTCTGCAAGACAAGCATGTGCTCTTAACCTCTGAACCATCTCTTACACCCCGAGCATATGCCATTTTTCAACCTTATAAAATAAGACTAAATTGCAAATACAGCTTCTGGAATATATGTACCAACTTCAAGACACAAAATCACTACATTTATATGGTTTCAAATTATTGCTATTTTTTTTTTAAGAAAACGTCTCAGGTATGCACTTCAGGCTTTTTCAGAATTGATCTCAACTACCTCAGTTTAGATGGCATATATAAAGTAAAGATTTTACCAGCTAAGAAGACAAGTAGTAAAGCTAAGTAACACTCTCCTCCTCTTTTCCAAATTGAAAATGGCGATTTTTTTCCCCTCTAAAGCCCTGTGGTTGTCCTGTGGTATACGATAAACAATGTCAGAAAGATGTAGAGAAACAGTGTGGTTATCTGGGCAGTTCTGAGCCATTCATCACTGCCTTCCCTCCACACCATCGGATTGTACATCCTAGGCTACAAAAGCCCATAATAAGCCATTAGTCTATGGATGGCACAGAGGACATATTACCACATTTGAACCACTTTTCCATTTCCAAAGTTCCTATTTCAGAAGTTCCCTCCAGCTGTTTCTGGGCTGAGTGGCTGAACTGTCACTAGGAGCAGTGTACCTCACGCTGAAAGTATTCCTCTTACAGCACAGGCTGATTTTCTATGGGTTTTTTTTTTTTTTTTTTTTTCTTTTTCACTTCAATGGAACTAGTGTAATGTGGAATGCCCAGTGTTAACTGGTTTAAGACAGTCTTGTCAATCAATCTGAATTGAAGCCAAGCTGATCACAGGATGTTCCCTTAGCTCTCTTGAACCCTGATGGCAGGTACCTGTAGTTCACAGAAACACAGTTATGAGAAGGACCGGTGCTGTGGCACAAGCATTACCACTTTGCTATTTGTATTATGGTCTGTGAGAAAAAAGAAAGGAAAATGTACAGTCTTTGCTACATTTTAATAATAGGTTTGAAGGGATTTTTGTTTTCATTTTAATTCTAGTGAAAAACATCAGACACAATGTACTGAGAACTCCCCAGGTCCAGAGTACTGCCCAGGGAACTGAGTACTGGAGAGGTGGCTCAGTGGTTAGCAGCACTTGCTTCTCTTCCAGAAGACCTAAGTTCACACTTCATACCACCAACATGGCAGCTCCCAACCACCTTTAACTCAAGTCCCAGGGTATCTGACACACTCTCCTGGCCTCCATAAGTATTGCACACAGGATGTACAGATACACATTCATGCAAAATACCCACAATTATAAAATAATTTAGAATAAATGTACAGAAACTAGGGTAACTCTTGTTTCAATATTGAAGTCTGGGTAAATTTGACTCATGTTTTGAGACCCCTCTTTGGGATTGCAGGCATGTGTTACCTCACCTAGCAGATCTATTTGTAGTGCTGCTCTTTAGTTAAGAGTTGAACCCTAGCCACAACAGACTGATTTCCCCTGAAATCTACATGTCAAGGGCTCTGTTGTTTCTGTCTCTAGAGCCAATTGAAAGGCATTTAAATTACTCTCAGAGGCCATCAAAGGCATCAGGGAAACACTCTGTTTCTTGTAAAGGGGCCTAAGGAATTTCTGCACCTACTCCATGAGGGACCTTCATTCTTTTCAGAGTCCATGTGAGTCTAAACCATTCTCCTGCCTCTTGCAGACCCAGGACCAGGACCCATGATGAACAGCAGTTCTGGGAGCTCCTCTCCAACAAAGGCCATGGATGAGAGCCAGGTACACTCTGCAGATGAGTATTCCCTACTGGTCCCTGTTTCCTCTCTTGTTTGTCTATTGGTTCCTTTAAAGCAAACTGTTCCCCAAGATCCTGATGGCCCCTCGTGTTCCAGCATCACCCCTTTAGCTGAGCATACAGTAGCAGTAAGTGTTTAGAGATCGAGGGCCAGAGTGGGCTTTGGTTTTGCTTGGTTTGTCCTTAGAAGCTTCTAAAAGCATGACACAGCTTCACCTTGTCACCATCTATCGAGTGGCAGTATCACTCCAGCACTCCTTGACTTTGGAGTGTCACTGAGCCAGAGTGCTTGTTTGTTGGTGTCCTTTTCACTGTGAGTGAGATTACTAACCAGTTTAGAGCACTTGCTCTAACTACTAGTACATAGTACATCATCATCAGTACAACCTATGCTGTGTGCTTTGTGCTGAAAGCCATGAGTGACAGAGACTCACTGTAAGTCATGCTATTCATAGGCATCAGGTTTGGAACTGTGCTTCTGAAACTCCCTGCATCTGTGTACCTGGCCAAGTGTTTGGAATAATATGAAAGCAGACTGCTTACACACAGAAACGTGTGTACCACCTCTTGATCTGGTCCTCAGCAGTGGCCAAGTAATTTTCAGTGTTCACAGCAGTGTGTACTCCTGTGACATGTGTGGCTATTGGAGTTGCTTAGCCTTCTGCACTACAGTAACACAGTGTGGAAATTCCTGTTCTGTCGTGTGTAGTGTTGCCATTCAATGAAGGTCATTACTGGAGCTGTCTACGTAATTACAAACATAAAACTGTGCTGGGAATACTGTGAAGTCCAGTGTGGGGCTCCAGGGATGTGCATGTCTTGAGAAGTCTTTATCCAAGCCAGGCTGGGTGAGACCCAGAGCCTTTCTAGACTTCAGACACTGAAGACTTCAATTTGGAGGAATAGGAGGGACACAGCCATGGAGTGGAGCCTGGTATCTGAGTTCTAGCCTGCCCTCTTACATGTATTATGACCTACAATCAGCTCAACTTTTCTTGCCTTTGCTTGCCCAGGTTTAAATGAGGATAGTCACACAGACTGAAAGATCCAAGAATTTGGATAATATACCAAAGACCGACTGGGGCTGCCCTGAATGGTTGCTATTACTGCTTGTGTACAAAATATATTTTCATTCTGTTCTCTGTCTTCTTAATATGTACATGTGGAGTTACAGTGATGAGAGATAGAGCATTTCTTTTGATACAGATTGCAGTGTGTATGGCATGCCCTGTGGTACAACCACTTCTTGGGAAAAGCCAGAGGACAAGCAACTTTATAAGAAGTTGGCTTTTCCCTGTCTTAGCAGATAGCAAACAGTAACCTGAGTCACTGCTTGCAGCATCCTTCTGACCTCTGAGTTGTCATTGGCAACAAGGGGTGAGGTGGCGTGTTAGGCTGACGGTTCTTTGGACAGGTGCCAGTTTAATAGTCTTTGCACCATGTAAAAGCATTTCCAAACTTTGTTTCTTTTCTACAGGTTAACATGCCTCCCAGAGGGCCCCCTCCATTCCCAGGGTCACCTCTCTTTGGTGCCCCTTTGGGAAGTCCTGTGCCACCACCCACTCGATATGGACCACCTCCTCCACTGATCGGGCCTTTTGGGCCTCGGCCAGTTCCTCCACCATTTGGTATGATGATCTGAACAGTATTGACTTGTAAAACATACTCATCTTTTCTGTTTTTTGCTAAAGTACTTGTTACCATAGAGCTTTACAATTGAGGATGCAGCTGAGAACATTGTAACGATTGTGAAGCCTCTGAGCACATAAAGGTTCTATGTAATCTCCCTAAACTGAGTTGGGTATGGCTGACAAGGAAAGCCAGCAATGTTCCCTCTGCAGGTGCATTTGAACACCGTATTGTATATGGAAAAGATGGGTGTCACATGTCATAAAACCCTGTAAGTCACAGAGACACATAGAATCATAAGACACTGGTCAGAGAATATAGACAGGAAGCTAAACAATCCCTTCTCCCTGGCACTAGGCAGAAGAGAGCTGTTACACAGAACACAATAGCAGCCTAGTGAATGTAGATCAATTTGAGTCCAGCTCCTTTGTGTGTTTTGGCCACATGAACTTCTGGTTGACACAGTGGTAGGTCTTTATCAACTTTGTTGCAGTGAATGTGTGTTTCATAGTGAATCTGTGTTTTCACTCTGTTCTTGGCATGGCTGTTACTCTGAATAGAGATGTTCTGAAATGCAGAATTGCAGAGTGAAAAGAAAACCTGGACTTAAGCAGAGCCAGGTTTAAACCTGTGCTTTGCTCAGTGGCCACAGACTAATTTCAATTTGCTGAGTCTCTTTTGCCTCATCATAAAGTCAGGGTGCCACAGTTGACTTTCTAGGGCTGAGAAATTAATAAATATGTTACTGTACTTGGAATGATTGCTCATTTCAATGTGTTTCTTGGTATTTACATGACTCTTGTTTCCTAGTTCCAGGCATGGGTCCACCACTAGGCATAAGAGAGTATGCACCAGGTGTTCTGCCTGGGAAACGGGATCTGCCTGTTGACCCTCGGGAGTTTTTACTAGGACATGCACCATTTAGACCTCCGGGTTCACTTGGTCCAAGAGAGTATTTTATTCCTGGTGCCCGTTTACCACCTCCAACTCATGGTCCTCAGGACTACCCGCTGCCACAACCTGCTGCAAGAGACTTACTGCCTCCTGGCCCAAGAGAGGAAGCCCCACCTGCCTCTCCAAGCAGTGTCCAAGACAGCTCATCGGCTCAAAACCCATCCCTTAACTTTGTTTGACCTCTATCACTGAGTCAGAACGAGAGAACGAGAGTGGACAGTGCATTGTTCATTATAGCAATGAATTTCATTGGCTTTAATATCTAAAAGTTTCTTATACAGAGTTTGTTTTTAGTACTAAGCTGCTTTGGCAGTGTTTTTTTGGGCCAAACAAAAAATATTATTCTCTATTCATAGTAAAAAAAATAATCACATGTTAAGCTAATGTCCTTCCAACTTGAAATGTACAAAAAAGAAATACCTGTGTCTAGTTTATGTAGCATATGCAATTGCTCATGATTTAGAATATCCTAAAGTATTAACATTTCCTGTAGAAATAAAACGTGTACTCAAGGATCACAAACTCGTCTTTGTTGCTAAAGTTCTTTGTAGTAATAGTTCATAAACTTTGTTTATTAGTATTTTCCAAGTGTCTGTTGATTCTTTGGGTTGTTTTGAGACTTGTATCATTTGGGAAACCTGACAACTGGCCTTCATGGATAAAAAAAGGCACACAATTATTCAATGATAAAGAAAAATTATGGGTGGAGAAATTTCTCCATGGGTAAAGGCCCTGGACAACAAGGTTGACAAACTGCGTTCCATCCCTGAGATATACATGGTTGAAGGAGAGAAACAACTCCCACTAGTTGTCCTCTCTCCCACACACACACACACACACACACACACACACACACACACACACACACACACGCCTTAAAATGTGGAGGGAAAAATTAAATTACAATTTTTTCACCTCATGTTTTGTTGCTTTTAAAACCATTTTTGTACTAAGGGTGCGTAAAAGATCAAAATCACATGCCATGACTGTAAGATCATTTCTTTTTAGAAATAGACATTCTGTTCTCTCTCACATCACCTTGCAGCTGAGTTTCAAGGAATATGACAAGCAAGAATCAGGAAGGTGTCATGAGGAAGAATGATTGCAAACTAGAAAACTTACCCATGTCTTCAGTCCACAACTATGGGCTGAAATGAATGATACAGTTGTTTTGAGATTGGGTCTCATAGTGTAGCCCAGCCTGGCCTCAGACTCTCAGTGATCCTCTTGTTTCATCTCCTGAGAGGCTGGAATTTCAGGCTTGAGTCACCTTGCCTAGCTTAATTCTTTGATAGATACTAATGAAAAATTAATATTCAAATAGTGGTGCTTTTATTTATAAACCAGGTTTAAGTCCAGGAACTGGTATTGCATCATGTAAAGTCCTGTATCCCTTTTACAGTGTCTTTAAAACAACTGGTTCAGACAATATATAGTAATTGTTGCTGCACATTATGTAAGAGCTGTAACATGTAAAGCTGTAAAAGGTGGAAACTGCTTATTGTGACACTGTGTTCCCTAAAGTCTTGTGAAGTCATGATACTGAAACCTAGGGCATAGTAGGCTGGGATTTTAAAGCCACGTGGGTCTTTCGAAAAATGAGAAACAGCTTCAATGAGAAATAAAATCCTCAACATCTGAAGACATGGTATACAAAGACAGGCTCTCTGAATGCAGTAAGTTCTGAGGTAGCCTGTAAATTCTCCAGTAAGAGTTAGATATGCCTAGCCCAATCTGAAATTTCAGAAGATTTTATATAAGAAAACACCACAGAATAGTGTATGTCATTAAAAATAATTTTTTATTCTATGCATATGTGTTTTGCCTGCATGTATGTAGGTATACTACATGTATGTCTGGTTCTCATCAGTCCAGAAGAGGGTGCCAGATCATCCATAACCAGAGTTATAGCCAGTTGTGAGCCGCCATGTGGGTACTGGGAACTGAGCCCTCCCTGGTCCTCTGGAAGAACAGCCAGTGCTCCTAATCCCCAAACTATCTCTTACACCCCTAGCATATGCTATTTTTTAACCATATAAAAATAAGATTGAATTGTAAATACAGCTTCTGGAATGCACCTACCAACCTCAAGACACAAAATCATTACATTCATATCCTGCCTCCACTATTTCAACTACCTAAGTTTAGATGGCATATAAAGATTTTATCAGCTAAGAAGACAAATAGTAAAGCTAAGGAACACCCTCCACCCACCTTTTCCAAATGAAAATGGGGATATATCTCCTCTAAAGCCCTGTGGTTGTCCTGTCGAATACGATAAACAATGTCAGAAAGATGTAGAGAAACAGTGTGGTTATCTGGGCAGTTCTGAGCCATTCACCACTGCCTTCCCTTCACACCATCGGATTGTAATCCTAGGCTACAAAAGCCCATAATAAGCCATCAGTCTAAGGATGGCACAGAGGACATATTACCACATTTGAACCACTTTTCCATTTCCAAAGTTCCTATTTCAGAAGTTCCCTCCAGCTAGCTAACATTTCTGGGTTGAGTGGCTAAACTATCACTAGGAGCAGTACCTCAGCCTCAAAAGCATTTCTCTTAGAACACAGGCTGTCTTTTTTAGGGCAGTTTCTTTCACTGCAATGGAAACTTGTGAAATGGAATGCCCTGTGTTAACTGGTTTAAGACAATCTTGTCAATCAAGTCTGAATTAAAGCCAAGCTTATCACAGGATGTTCCCTTAGCTCTCTTGAACCCTGATGGCAGGCACCTGTAGTTCATTGAAACACAGTTATGAGAAGGACCGGTGCTGTGGCACAGAGACTCACCACTTTGCTATTTGTATTATGGTCTGTGAGAAAAAAGAAAGGACAATGTACAGTCTTTGCTACATTTTAATAATAGTAGGTTTGAAGGGATTTTTTTTTTTAGGTCTAGTCAGGAACATCAGACACAAGTTACTAAGTGAATCCCCAGGTACAGAGTACTGCCTGGGGTACTGGGTACTCTCTAGGTAAAGAGTACTGCCCGGGGTACTGAGTACTCCCCAGGTACACAGTGCTGCCAAGCACCTTAGAGTCTTTTCATGACACAGATTTGTGGCTCTTGCCTTTGAGAAGCTTACAGTCTTGGGATCCAAAACCCAAAGCTTAGGATTCAGATAATCAGTTAATTTAAGGCAAATTCTTAATCTCCTAGAACTACTATAGTCAGAATTATTTTAGCATTTGGAATTAATCTGATCAAGATTAATTTGGCTGTGGATTTTTTTTTTCAGGTTGGGCCTGAATAGTTTTTTATTAACATCCATCTAGTAAACATTGACTAGTAGGTGCTGAAAGTCAAGACTAGATCTCTTGAAGGGCAAGGTTAAAACATCTTCTTTGAGACTACTTACTTAAAAAGCCAATACACTGAACCCTGTGATGAGGTTATACTATTTAAGAGCAGGCCCAGTCCTGACAGTGCAGCCCACTCAAGCACTTCTCATCAGAACATGAAGATTAAAATGTGTGGGTTCTATGTCTAACCCACAGAAAGCCCCTCAATCTCAATGTTCTGTGTAACAACTAGCCATCATGTGCTATGTGAAAGTTTTATTTATGCCTCGTTACATCAAAGGTAAATAGTCAATTTAAAATAACTAATGACCTGCATATTTTCCAAAGGAATGCATGACTGTATATCTAAATAGGAAATAAATGGCAATTCTATCTACCTATATTAAAAAAAATAAACTATCTTTTCATATTTTGCATACTAAGGAGAGGTATGCGGTCTTAAGGTCTCACAATGGGTTGTCAGGAAGCAGCAGTTATCCGCAGTATTTTAACATCTGACTCAACTCTTCCTAAATGATGCAATTTAAAAGATACTGTAAACACATTTAAAACCTGGAGTTACTCTGAGATGGTTCCAGCGTTAACCCCAGAATCTACCAGGAAGAATAGCAGTGTGACAGAGAAGAACAGATAACCCCTTGGCTATACATGTGTTCATGTCAGGAAGCCAGTCTTGTCATCCAGGGGATTCTCATCTGGCCAGGCCACACTTCCCATCAGGAGATCTATGGCATTCTGGCAGGATACTTGTAAAGAGTAACTACAGGCTCCCAGACCGACTTTCCTAGGCAATGTAACTAGTCCAATCCTGCTCAGCAATTCTCCCCACCTCAGCCCAGAATGTTGCATATTGGAGCAAAGGTGAGCAGAAATGTAAACTCTAGCACATTCTTATTGCTGCATTGTCTGAAGTTCAGCACATCGACCACAACAGTACTACCTGGGAAGCAGGGGAGGAGGAGTGGTAATGAGAAAATAGACAATTAATTGCACAATTAATAGAAAAGTAAAAATGTTTCAAAATCTACAATAAACCTGTATCCAATAGGTTAGTGATGTGCTGAACTTTTGAGTTCTGGGGTCCGGCTTTGTAATGGACTTGCTGGCCAACTGGCATGGGTAGGACTCATTTCCTGCCTGTTGAAGAGTGATATGCTACACAGAGCTATGATGGTTTCTGAGTGGTAAAATTCACATAGGTTCCAGGTTATTTGTATCAGGATCATTCCTTGTGCAAAGTTTGATGTAGATGAAGATAAAGTGGTTTCTTGGTCAATAATTGTAATTTTTTTCTTTTAAAGTCAGTGGGTTTCTTGTATCTGGAACCACAACAGAAAGATTATTGTTTAAAATACTCTGATTGATCCCCAAGTTCCATTTGCCATGCCCCAAACTTACAATTCTATTACAATTGGCCCAGGTTTAATTTCATCCATCTCCATGAAGGCAAAACACTTGGTGCTGGTGAACCTCTTTTTAGGCTTGTAATGTTTGAATTCAAAGAAGATGGCTGCACCTATGAAACGACAGGCAGCCCCTTCCACGTTAATTAACTTTCATTACTCACCAGAAGCATATGAAGAAGCAATAGTTTGAATAATCCACAAAGTAACCTGTTAAATACTGTCTGCTACTATGAGTAGCAACCCCAAATTCTATTCTAACATTTCTCCATGTCAACTAATTCTACAAAGTCCTGAGTGAGACGGACTCAAGAATGTAAATCACTAAAGAACACAGAATAGGGCTAAGATGGCTCAGTGTGAGGACTAGAATCCAGATTCCCCAGAACCCATATAAATGACAGGTGGCGGTGGTGGCTGCCTGCAATTCCAGAGTTTGGAGGGAGAAACCAAAATTCCTGAAGCAAGTTGGTTAGCTAGACTAGTTAAATCAGTGAGCTCTGAGTTCAACTGAGAAACATGTCTCAATGAATAAGAAAGAGTAATTGAAGAATACTACGGCCAGCCTTGGGCCTCAACACACATGTGTACATGTTGGTGCACCTGCACACACAGGTGAAGCCACACACATGACCTCTAAGTACACTATTGTGTTAGATACTTTTATGTCAACTTGACATAAGCCAAGGTCATCTGAGAGGAAAGAATCTCAATTAAGAAAATGCCTCCAAAAGATCAGGTTGTAGGCAGGCCTGTAAGGCATTTTCTTAATTAGTGATTGATGGGGAAGGGCCCAACCCATTGTGGTTGGTATCCTCTCTGGACTGGTGCTCCTGGGTTCTATAAGATAGCAGGCTGAACAAGCCATGAGGAGCAAGCCAGAAAGCAGCATTCCTCATGGCCTCGGCATCAGCTCTACCTCCAGGTTCCCACCCTCTTTGAGTTCCTGTCCTGGCTTCCTTTGATTATGAACAGTTGAAATGGAAGTGAAAGTCAAATAAACACTTCCCTCCCCAACTTGCTTTTTGGTCATGGTGTTTCATCACAGCAATAGAAACCCAAACTAACACAACGACACACAGGAAAAATTTCAAAACAAAACAAATTGCAGAAGAGGAACAGAGTCCACAGGCGTAAAGTGCACTAGACAGCCCACAGCAGGGGTAAAGTGCACTAGACAGTCCACAGCAGGGGTAAAGTGCACTAGACAGCCCACAGGGGTAAAGTGCACTAGACAGCCCACAGGGGTAAAGTGCACTAGACAGCCCACAGGGGTAAAGTGCACTAGACAGCCCACAGGGGTAAAGTGCACTAGACAGCCCACAGGGGTAAAGTGCCCGTGCATTAGTTAGACTGGAAGTGAAGGTTCCTTTTAAAACATTCAAGCTCAACCAGCTTTGCTTCCTCCTGAAATAACCCCCAAATGCAAACAACAAAGTCATGTGCTATTAAATGTTACCTAATGCCTCTTTAGAGTCCAAAGCTGTGCATTTACCCATCACCTACACCCACATGTGCTGTGGATGGACGGGTATAAAGGCAACAATAATCAAGCATTCATGAGAAAGTTCCATAGTTACACATCTCCAAAGACAGACAGATAAGCTCTGAATCCTGAAGGGGAAAACAGCTCAGATTATGATATAAGTTACCAGTGTAGCCCCAAACTGATTTCTAAAAAAGGCATGAAAACCAATGAAAGTTGATGTCTCACTCAACTAGTTGCTATTTAATTCTGCTTTAACCGGGGTGGTACTGGATCCTGCCTTTAAACACTATGGTAGACATCTACTTTAGTGACAATACAGCTTCTAACTGATGGTGTTTAACAATGCTCTCAACAGCCAAGTGAACAGTCCTGGCACTTGGACACAGACAGAGTATCTCACAAATCAAGCAGAAATGCCCAGTCACTCAAGAAACAATGGAGAGAGGGAGAAACAGGCACACTTAGCCTGTACTTCCTCACACAAAAGCATCTCAATAGTTGGGCTACTGGGGATCAACTTCCCTAAGCATAGAACCCTATCAGATCCACACAGGTATATTATCTCTTCTCATTCCTACAGCAATAGTAGAAACATCTAATTATCAGACCATATTTCTTACTCTCTTCAGTATTCAGTATTCTCTTACTGTATTCAGAGGGAATACATCTTTTTACCATGATGTATATGAGGCCAAAAAAACATTAACAAAGTTGTGCTTGGAATCCTAAGGCCAAATATGTCACCATTGTTCTTTCTCATCTGCATTATCAGAAACAAAATTTTCACTGCAGTCTTGGTATGCAGAGTTCTGTGTGCCACACATTTGTTAAAAATGTAAAATTAGGATATCCTAAGATGACTGAAAGGCTTATACCCATGAAATTTCCTTAGCATTAGCATCACTTAGAACCACGGTGACTAATATTAAGTTCAAAGCTGGAGAAAAAGAATGGTGAAGTCCTGAATATACTTCAACAATTCATCAGTCATCAGGAATAGCAAAGCACAGTAAGGAAGGTTAGCCCATGGACTACACTGTCCTTCACATCAGAAACAGGTCTCAAAGCAATGGGGAGAAGGCACACTCAGTGTTGCAATTTCTTCCTTAAGTACCCCGAACCCTCTGATACACACCCTTCTAACCCAGAGTTTCAAGTTCTGGAGTCTATCAGAATGACCTGGAGGACTTTAAGAAACACACTGCTAAGGCTGCACCATGGCTCATCCACCAGGGCTCAGGGGCTGCCTCTGCTGCAGCCGTGGTTTAAGAAGAAAAGCATCGACACGACAGAGGCTGAGGCACTCGCTTTATACCCATGTCCTACAGAGCTTAGCATCTCAAACTGCAGCTGAGGCTCAAGGGACATAAGGGACTCTGAAGGCTTCTCTGTAGAGAGCACCAATAGGTCAGTGGGCAGATGGCAACTGCAAGGATTTATTGCTAAGACCTGTGCTAGGCTGGTAATGCAACACTTCAGTGTGACAAAAGGTGGCTTTCTCTTCCCACCTTCCCTCCAATGAACTGCAAGCTCTGGAAGGTTTCAGCTCAGTGTGTCCCACTGGAAGGAAGGGGTCCAAACACCATTAGGAGTTCCAGCTTCCCCCACCCATCAGAAAGAGAAAACGTGCGTGCGTGCGTGCGTGCGTGCGTGCGTGCGTGCGTGCGTGCGTATAGTAAGCATGCATATAGGCTCACGTCAGGCTTTTCCTCAATCAGTTTCCCACATCACTTTTTGAGACAGGGTTTCTTACTGAATCTGGAACTAGCCTGGCTGAGCAGCAAACCTCATCTGCCCTTATCTTCCAGCACTGGCAAGCTGCCATGCCTGAATTTTACATGGGTACAGTGAACCTAGCTCAGGTCCTCCCCCACTGAGCCATCTCCCAGGCCTAAAATTTTACTATTGAACAACATATTCTAGTGTTTTAATACAACCAGATAACAAACCACCTAATTTCAAGATTTAAAAAACATTAATATTTAGATTTCATCAAAGCAACTAACCAGGTGACACTGACTTCTGCCAGGCATGGATTATGATGGGATCACTGTGCACACCCTCCCAAATGAGTGCTGTCCACAGGAAAACAAAGATATGGTCACAAACCTTTGGTTAATTTTTCAACATGCTTCTGGAGCTCAATGTCCATATTAAAATGAACATATGTATCTTCTTTTCTTGAAGCCACAGGAGTATCTTGTACAGGAGTTAAATCTATGCCATTCAAATCTAGAGAGAAACAAATTCCCATTTAGGGGCAATCACATTTAAGACCACCAAAGGCCACATTTCCTGCAGAGGTGGGATGGGGGAGAGATTCCAGGGATTCACAGGGATGCCTCCCTGTATGAACAGGGGCTTGGGAACTGCTGCTACCCATGGGTGTGTGAAGGAACAGAACTGAGAGGCTGGGAGACCACAGGGAGGGAAATTAAGTTTGCAGGAAATCAAATTTGATCTTTAAGAGGGGAAAGAACTTCCTGTTTGCTGAGGGCATAGACCACTCTATTATGTGTAGTAAGAATGCAGACTGAATACACTTTGCTACAATGTGGCTCTCAGCCTCTATTTTATAACACTGATCAAGGGCAAGGCTGGAAAGGCTTTAAGTCTATAATTAAGTCAGACTTCCTCTGCAGTACTCAAGTCAGATGGGCATGAGAGCTGCCAAAATATCCCTTTCATCAGTGAAGAAATTTGTAAGTAGTACTTACATTCTGGTTATGTTTCCCAAAACATAACTGATTTACCACAACCAGATGGTATACTAAGTTACTGAGTATGGCTTTAATTTCCTGGGTCCAAGAACCCCACTTAATCAAATTCTGCATTAGGCTTATTTACCAAATAAGTGTTTATATATTTATTATACAACAAAGATGCTTTAGTAACCTACAGTAATTTGGTACAACTGATTATTGGAGTTCTTAAAGATATTTACACAAAATCCTGTTTCAGTTCAACAAACACGCAAAGGTAATTTAACACCTACCACGTATCATTCAATATTTAAGTTTTACCAAGTATTCCCTGAATGTTATATCATTTTGCAAATGGTCTTTCATACAATGTATAAAGAACAAAAATACTTTACACACTTGATAGCTGTCTATCTCTTAAAGCAGTGGTTCTCAACCTATGGATTGTGACCACCTTTAGGGACATCAAACAACCCTTTCCCAGAGGGCCCATATCAGTGATCCTGCATATCAGATATTTATATTATCATTCAGAACAGTACCAAAATTGCAGTTATGAAATAGGAATGAAATAACTTTTTGGTTGGCAGTCACAACATGAGGAGCTGTATAAAAGTAAAGGGTCACAGCATTACGAAGCTGAGATCCACTGCCTTAAAGTATTTCCACCACTAGTGCTGTCAATCATGGTCTATGCTTATTAAAATTTTCTCTGTGGCTAAATTCCTTTTTATTTTAATTGTTACTAATGAACCTTTGGGTGTGAATTTCTAAAGTGATGCAAGTCGCCTCAGCCCACATCTGGTTCTTTGGTTAGTTTCAGACTACAGCTTAATGTTAACCACTTACATTAACTGTAGTTATTTCTTGATAATGATGACTATACCCTTACTGATTCAATAATAACTGTTCTTACTAATTTTTTTCAAATGGGGTCTCATTATGTGTCCCCCAAAGTTGGGCTCAAGTGATCCTCCTGCCTCAGCTGTTTAGAAACTGGGATCACAGGTATGCTTCACTATGCCTAACACCTAAGAAAACTTTTTAATGACTAAGTGCTTTGAAAATAAAGTACTATATAATATGTATAAAGTACTGTAAAACAGGTATAAAGTATTACATGATAATATGTATAAAGTACTGTATAATAGGTATAAAGTATTACATGATGATATTATAAAGTACTGTACAATGGGTATAAAGTACTGTATAATAGTATAAAGTATTATATGATGATATGTAAAAAAGTACTGTATAATAGGTATAAAGTATTACATGATGATATGTATAAAGTACTGTATAATAGGTATAAAGTACTATAAAATAAGGAGGCAACAACAAAAGAATTCAGCCATGTGGATTCTCTGTTAGGGACAGGAAAAAAAATGGCCAGAATATTCACACTTTCTTACTCTGCTAACTTTCTTTCCTGTCCTGCAAGGCTCTCAGAGTCTGGACATACAGAAGGACCCACTCCTGGCCTCTACTCTAACCCTTCACTGCAGCACCCATCTTACAGAAACCTGCTGTAGGAATCTGAGGGTGGAGGAGGACTATTTTCTAATTCTGTATCCTGGAAGCTGTCTCTGCTGTTAAGGGGAGACATGTGCATGGCTAGACAGCTCCCTAGATGGGTCTGGAGTAAGAAACAGAAACAGAAACAATGACAAGCTCAAAAGCAAAAGTGAGTCTAAGCTCAACATTTAAAAATATGTTTATTAAGTCTATCAGAGGTCCCCCCTCCACCCTTTGCCCTCTGCAGGCTGCCTGAGGTGAGTCTGGGCGCTGCTCTGCCCCCAACTTCCCCCATCATTCCCTGCTCCCTTCTTCCTGAGCCTCCCCCTGGACAAGAGTGGACCTGCCCAGAACGGAAGGCCCACCCTGAGTCGACCCTCTGCCCTCTGCCCTCTGCCTGCTGCCTGAGGGATGGGAAGACGACAGAATAAGAACACACTCAACAACAGAAAGACCAACATGACACCCCCAGAATCTAGGGACTCCACACTAGCAAGAACTGAAAAGCCCAACACCGAGGATGAAGAAGAGATGGCCCTTAAAAATTATCTTATGAAGATGATAGAGAAAATTAAAAAAGAAACAAGAAAATCCCTAAAAGAAATAGAAGAAAAAACAAGCAAAAAAGTACATGAAATGGAGGAAAAGAAAAACCAAAAAATTCAAGAAATAAACAAATCTCTTAAAGAATCTAAAGAAAGCCAAGAAAAAACAACCAAACAAGTGAAGGAATTAATTCAAACAGTGCACAGTTTGAAAGCAGAATTAGAAACAATAAAGAAAACACAGAATGAGGGGATGCTGGAAATAGAAAGGCTGGATAAACGGTCAGGAACCACTGATGTAAGCATAACCAATATAATACAAGAGATGGAAGAGAGAATCTCAGGTGCTGAAGACTCATTAGAGGTTATATAGTTATCTATCAAAGAAAATCTCAAATCCAACAAATACCTAACACAAAATATCCAGGAAATATGGGACACGGTGAAAGGACCAAACCTAAGAATAATAGGGATAGAAGAAGGTGAAGAAATTCAGCTCAAAGGTACAGAAAACATTCAACAAAATCATAGAAGAAAACTTCCCCAACCTACAGAAACATATGCCTATGAAAGAACAAGAGGCTTACAGAACACAAAATAGGCTAGACCACAAAAAGAAGTCCCTCCCGACACAGAAAACTTAGAGAATAAAGAAAAAAATTAAGAGCAGCAAAAGATAAAGGCCAAGTAACAGATAAAGGCAGACCTATCGGAATTACACCTGACTTCTCAATGGAAACTTTGAAAGCCAGAAGATCCTGGGTAGATGTTCTACAAACACTAAGGGACCATGGATGCCAGCCCAGACTACTGTATCCAGCAAAGCTTTCAATCACTATAGATGGAGAAAACAAGATATTCCATGACAAAACCAGATTTAAGCAATAAATATCCACAAATCCATCCCTACAGAAATTACTGGAAGGAAAACTCCAACACAACAAAGATAACTACGCTCAAAAAACCATAGGCAATAGATAATCCCACTTTACCAAACACCAAAAAAAAAAAAAAACACACCCCCCCCCAAAAAAAAAAAAAAACACACCCCCCCCCAAAAAAAAAAAAAAACACACCCAAAAAAAGCAAAGGCAAAAAAAAACCCCCTTTTCCAAACAGCAAAAAAAAAAAAAAAAAGGGAAATCCACACATAATAACACCACCACCACCAAATCCAAAACAAACAAAAATCAACAATCAAGGGTCATTAATATCCCCCAATGTCAATGGTCTTAACTTGCCTATAAAAAGATACAGGCTAACAGAATGGATACTAAGACAGAATCCATCCTTCTGCTGCATACAAGAAACACAACTCAACTTCAAAGACAGACGTTCCCTCAGAGTAAAGGGTTGGGAAAAGACCTTCCAATCAAATGGACCCAAGAAACAAGCTGGTATAGCAATCCTAATATCTAACAAATTAAGACTTCAAAATAAAATCAAACAAAAGAGATGAAGAAGGGAATTTCATACTTATCACAGGAAAAGTCCATCAAGATGAAGTCTCAATCCTGAACATCTATGCCCCAAATACAAAGGCACCCACATTCATAAAAGAAACATTACTAAAGCTCAAACATCACACCCTTATAGTAGGAGACTTCAACACCCAGCTCTCACCACTAGACAGGACCACCAGACAGAAACTTAACAGAGTAACAAAAGAACTAACAGAAGTTATAACCCAATTGGGTTTAACAGATATCTATAGAACATTCCATCCAAACACAAAAGAATATACCTTCTTCTCAACGTCACATGGAACCTTCTCTAAAATTGATCATAAACTTGGCAATGTAGCAAACCTCCACAGATACAAAAAAAAAAAAAAAAAAGGAAAAACCCTGGATAGCACCACCATGCTTTAAAGTTAGAATTCAACAACAACACAAATTTCAGAAAGCCTACAAACTCGTGGAAATTAAATAACGCACAATTGCACCATTCCTGGGCCAAGGAAGAAATAAGAAAAGAAATTAAAGACTTCCTAGAATTTAATGAGAATGAAGACACAACATACCCAAACTTATGGGACACTTTGAAAACAGTGCTAAGAGGAATGTTCATAGCATTAAGCGCCCACATGAAGAAACTGGAGAAGTCACACTAGAGAATTAGCAGTGCAACTGAAAGCTCTAGAACAAAAGGAAGCAAACTCTCCCTGGAGTAGACACCAGGAAATAATCAAACTAGGAAAACACTACAAAGACTCAATGAAACAAAGAGTTGGTTCTTCAAGAAAGTCAACAAGATAGACAAACCTTTATCCAATCTAACCAAAAGGCAGAGAGAGAGCATGCTAATTAACAAAATCAGAAACGAAAAGGGGGACATAACAACAGACACTGAGGAAATCCAGAGAATCATCAGGTCATACTTTGAAAACCTGTACTCCACAAAACTCAAAAATCTAAAGGAAATGGACAATTTTCTGGATAAATATCACTTACCAAAATTAAATCAAGAACAGATAAGCAATTTAAACAGACCTATAACCCCTAATGAAATAGAAGCAGTCATCAAAGTCTACCAACCAAAAAACAAAAGCCCAAGGTCAGATGGTTTCAGTACAGAATTCTACCAGAAATTCAAAGAGCTAATACCAGTACTCCTCAAATTGTTCCACACAATAGTAGCAGAAGGGACATTGCCAAGCTCTTTCTATGAGGCTACAATTACACTGGTACCCAACCAACACAAAGACACAGTGAAAAAAGAGAATTACAGACCAATATCCCTTATGAACGTCAATGCAAAAAATATTCAACAAAATACTGGCAAATCGAATCCAAAAACACATCAGAGAAATCATCCAATATGTTCAAGTTGGCTTTTTCCCAGGAATGCAGGGATGGTTCCATCAATGTAATCCACCATATAAACAAATTGAAAAAGAAAAACCACATGATCATCTTGCTAGATGACGAAAAAGCCTTTAACAAAATCCAACACCCTTCATGATAAAGATCTTGGAGAGATCAGGAATAATAGGAACATACCTAAACATGATAAAAGCAATATACAACAAACCAACAGCCAACATCAAACTAAATGGAGAAAAACTCAAGGCTATTCCTCTAAAATCAGCAACAAGACAAGGCTGTCCACTCTCTCCATATCTCTTCAATATTGTCCTTGAAGTTCTAGCTAGAGCAATAAGACAAGAAAAGGAGGTCAAGGGGATACAAATTGAAAAGGAAGAAGTCAAACTTTCACTATTTGCAGATGATATGATAGTCTACATAAGTGACCCGAAAAACTCTACCAGGGAACTCCTACAGCTGATAAACACCTTCAGCAAAGTGGCAGGATACAAGATTAACTCAAAAAAAAATCAGTAGCCCTGCTATATACAAATGATAAATGCGCTGAGAAAGAAGTCAGAGAAACATCACCCTTTACAATAGTAACTAACAACATAAAATATCTTGGGGTAACACTAATCAAAAAACAAGAAAGACCTGTATAGTAAGAACTTTGAGTCTTTAAAGAAAGAAATTAAAGAATATACCAGAAAATGGAAAGATTTCCCATGCTCTTGGATAGGTAGGATCAACATAGTAAAAATGACAATCTTGCCAAAAGCAATCTACAGATTCAATGCAATTCCCATCAAAATCCCAACACAATTCTTCACAGACCTTGAAAGAACAGTATTCAACTTCATACGGAAAAACAAAAAATCCAGGATAGCCGAAACAACCCTGTACAATAAAGGAACTTCCAGAGGCATCACCATCCCTGACTTCAAGCTCTATTATAGAGCTATAGTCCTGAAAACAACTTGGTATTGGCACATAAACAGACAGCTTGACCAATGGAATCAAATTGAAGATCCTGATATTAACCCATACACCTATGAACACCTTATTTTTGACAAAGAAGCTAAAGTTATACAATGGAAAAAAGAACGCATTTTCAACAAATGGTGTTGGCATAACTGGATTTGGACATGCAGAAGATTGCAGATTGATCCATATCTATCGCCATGCACAAAACTTAAGTCCAAATGGATCAAAGACATAAACATAAATTCAGCCACACTGAATCTCCTAGAAGAGAAGGTAGGTGGTACCGTCGAACAAATTGGTACAGGAGACTGCTTTCTGAACATAACACCAAGAGCACAAACATTGAGATCGACAATTAATAAATGGGACTTCCTGAAACTGAGAAGCTCTTGTAAGGTAAAGGACACAGTCAGTAAGACAAAATGCCAGCCCACAGAATAAGATATTCACCAACCCCACATCTCACAGAGGGCTGATCACCAAACTACACAATGAACTCAAGAAGCTAGCCACCAAAACACCAAACAATGCAATTAAAAAATGGAGTGCAGAACTAAATAGAGAATTCTCAACAGAGGAATACAAAATAGCTGAAAGACACTTGAGAAAGTACTCAACATCCTTAGCCATCAGGGAAATGCAGCTCAAAACCACTCTTAGATAACATCTTACTCCTGTCAGAATGGCTAAACTCAAAAACACCAATGACAGTTCATGCTGGAGGGGATGTGGAGAAAGGGGAACACCCCTCCATTGCTGGTAGGAGGACAAACTTGTACAACCACTTTGGAAATCAGTATGGAGGTTTCTCAGGAAAATGGGAATCAGTCTACCTCAAGACCCAGCAATTCCTCTCTTGGGCATGTACCCAAAAGAATGCACATTCATACAAAAGGGACATATGTTCAACTATGTTCATAGCAGCATTATTTGTAATAGCCAGAACCTGAAAGCAACCTAAATGCCCCTCAACTGAAGAATGGATAGAGAAAATGTGGTACATTTACACAATGGAGTACTACTCAGCAGAAAAAAAACAAACAAACCGGAATCTTGAAATTCGCAGGCAAATGGATGGAACTAGAAGAAACCATCCTGAGTGAGGTAACCCAGTCACAAAAACATACACATGGTATGTACTCACTCATATGTGGATTTTAGACATAGAGCAAAGGATTACCAGTCTACATTCCACACTGCCAGGAGTTAGGAAACAAGGAGGACCCCAAGAGAAGATTGTATAGTCAGTCCCTTGAAGAAGGGGAGGGGGACAAGAACCCCTGAACAAAGTGGGGGCATGGGGCGAGGTGGAGCGGAAAGAGTTGGGAGGGGAAGAAGGAGAACAAGAGGACTGAGACAGGGGAGGAGTAGAGGAGAACAAGAAAGGAGATGCCTTGATGGAGGGAGACAGCCCAGGTATAGAGAGAGGTCTGGCGCAGGGGAAACGTTAGGGGATCCACAGGGATGACCCCAACTAAGAATCCAAGCAGTGGTGGAGAAAATGTCATTGATGCCCTTCCCTTATAATGAGATTGATGTCTACCTTGGTTACCATTCCTAGAGCCTTCATCCAGTAGCTGTTCGAAGCAGAAACAGGCACCCACAGCTAAGGATTGAACCATGATACTGGAATCCAGTTGTGGAGAGGGAGGAGGGATGAGCAAAGGAGCCAAGATGGTGCTGGAGAAACCTGCCGAAACAGCTGACCTGACCTAGTGAGAGCATGGAGACCCTAGTCATAAAGCTGGGGAACCAGCATTGGACCAAAACAAGCCCTCTGAATGTGGATGCCAGCTAGGAGGCCAAGACCTCTATGGGACCTCTGACAGTGGAGCCAGTCTTTAACGCTAGAGCACAAATGGACTTTGGGAGCCCATTCCCTATGGAGGGATACTGTTGCAGCCCAGGTACAGCAAGGAGGGCCTAGACCCTCCCCCAAACGATATGACAGACTTTGAAGGTCCCTGGTGGAGGGCCTCACTATCCCTGGGGAGGAGTCGGGGGATGGGTTGGAGCTGTTGGTGGGGAACATGGGAGGATGGGAGGGCGAGGGAATGGGGGTGGATGGATATGTAAATATGAGTAGTAATTAAAGAATTAAAAAAAAAAGTCTATCAGAAGTGTTCACTGAAGGAATAAAGATCAATTTCAGGGTTCCTATCATTATAGAATGAATTACCATTAGCTGCTACAGACATAGGAGCCATCACTCTAGGAACAACTGTTCCCAGTAGAAAGCAGGGTGACATCTGCAGAAGGGAAACCACTCCCAGAGCTCCTCACCCTTCACGCTGACTGTAATGTAGGGGTCGATGCACTGCCCAGCGTCCTTCAGACCGATTTTCTCAATTCTGATAGTGAGTAACGTCATTCCTGGCTCCGACGGCAACCGTGGCAATAGAGTCCCTGGCAACAGAGAAACCATAATAAAAACTCGGCCACAAAGAATTCCAGAGTGAACATTTTAGCAAGCAGAAGAGACACAGGCTTCCTTGTAACTTAGCAACCAGGCAGGCATTGCACATTTTGCTTTCTAGCACTTTCAAACACTGTATTATTCCTTTTTTGTTTTTAGGCTGTCCTTAGGTTTCTGTGTATGGAGATTACAGGCAAGTGTCACCACACCTAGCTTGGTGTTACTCTCTGTGAACAAATATTTAATCATATGCGAGATAAAACTGCACTCCATACTCCACAAACACCATAAGAGCGGAATTATTAGGGATAGTTTGTTAAAAATTCATGTTACTCATGGAAGCCCAATTCTAAGATCCCACATAATACATATATTCAATGCACTCATAAAGATATATCTCGCAGAAAAAAGCAATGGAATCTTGAAATTCGCAGGCAAATGGATGGAACTAGAAGAAACCATCCTGAGTGAGATAACCCAGTCACAAAAAGACAAACATGATATGTACTCACTCATATATGAATTTTAGACATAGAGCAAAGGATTACCAGCCTACAATCCTCTTCACCAAAGAAATTAGGAAACATGAAGGACTTTAAGGGATAAATAAATGAACCCCAGGAATGGGAAGTGGCATGAACTCCTGAGCTAATTGGGAGCATGAGGGTAGGGGAGAGGGAGCTGCCACAATC